TGACCTCAGACCTCAGAAGAACAGGTCTGACATCACTACTCCAGGGTGGCCCTGCCCATTCCCGCTATCGTTTCCTCGGACCAGCCCATGCAAGGATGGGGGCAATACACTTGTTAATTGGAAGCCTGCCGTGAATCAGAACATTGGCATCAAAGAAAAACATGTCATATACGTCAAAAGTCGCCAACTAGGAAGGGAGACCCATCCTACCCTCCAAAGAGAAAAACCTGCTTAAAAGCCAAAAAAGGAACTAAACAGAGATGCAGATTTAACGTGGCCTCTGGAGGCCTTTGCCAATATGGAACCTTCCTCACGGTCAGGCTCCCCAGCTGTAAAACTGCCCCCATAAGAGTGAAAAACATTTACAAAAAAATGACTGCAGGGTGCCCAGACAAATTCTGGTAACAAAGTAAATCACAGTGAACTCGACCTGTGCTTTTCAAACGATACAAGCCCACATCATGCGGATTTTCCCAGGCTAAATGGTCTTCCCCAGAAATGGAAAATCAGTCTTCATTTTGGCTAAATTTGCTTGCCTTTCCATTTTAGATCAACAAAAATAATGAGGATAAACTGTCAGTGGTAGTCCTCTTTCAACAGTGGCCATGACCTCAGGGTACTGGTAACCAAGTCCAGTTACAAGCAGCAGCAGCTCTAAGCCTGAATTCCACACACTGTCACCCAGCCCCCAGACCCAACAGGCCGACTATAACTATCAGGCTACCTGCACTCATCCAAGGTTATACTGGGTCATGTCAGCTAAACCTGCACAGCCCTGCTGGCAACAATTAGGTGATGCTTTCATTTTGGAACAGTCAGTAAACTACAACAGCAATACTTTCATAATTTGAATTGTTAAAGATCTAAGAAGCACTTCGCAGGAGTGGTCCAGGGTTGCATCAATGAGGGTTGCTATGGGGGATGGGGAGGGGTTCATGTAAAATGCAGATTCCTGAGCCCCATCTTAAACCTGTTATAAATCAGACTTGATATTTGGGCTGAGGGCAGAAATGTGCATTTTCAAAGTTCCCTAGGTACTACTTGGTACGTGAAAGCCTGAGAATCACTAATAAAGTAACATCTCCCCAGGCTGACAAGTCTCCCAACCACGCCTGCTGGGAAACCTTTCTTAAAAGTGCCCCTCCGAGTGCAGATAAGGCCAGAAACACTGCTTATCCCGCAAGGTAGCCCACCCGAAGTCCGGGACCTGCTACACGGTGACGCGAGGGCGGCCACCGAATGAGTCAGACCAGCACCCAAACAAGAATGCTGCGTGTTGGAGGAGTGCTGGGAAAGAGGCCCCCACACTGAGTGTGGGGATGCCAAGCGGTATCCTGCGGAGACAACTAGACACAAAGTACAGGCTTCAGGAACACCTGCACCTTTGACTTCTCAAGTCTACTTCCGAGCTGTTCTGAACTCCACTGAAGGGTTAGAAGTGAACCTCACTAAATGGCACAATGTTCTTGATTGGGAAGAGTGAGGATTAGGAAGATGCCCACTCTCCCTAAATGTAATCTATAAATAAAAGCAATCTAATCAAAATCCTATTGAAATGTTTAAAAACAGAACTTGAAAAACTGATTCTGAAGCTCATATGAAAAGAATCAGTACATGACAAAGAAATATTTTATGTAAATGAAAAAACCCTCTGGTATCAAAACATACCACAAATCCAGTCATCAAAATGAAGTAACCCTAGAACAGGTGAAAATAAAAGACCAATGAATCCAGACTTTGCCGTGTGTGTGTGTGTGTGTGTGTGTGTGTGTGTGTGTGTGTGTGTGTGTGTGTGTGTACTGCATGCACGTGAGTTGTGAGCACCAGGCTCTCAGGCCCAGTTTGTGAACACACGAGCAGGTACGTTCACACTCGGACGTCTTCCTCAGGTGTGTGTTGTTCTGCATCTTGTTTCTTTGCGTATATTTTTGTACATGCTTTTCTGTACACAATGAGAGAGGTCTTTCTTCAAGGTATATTCTTAAAAGTGACTCTGGCGCCAAACAGTATGCACATTTAAAATACAATGAAATGACAGACGCTGCCGACGTTCCAAGCGGCACCAGCCCCTGCTTTCCCAGCCCTCGCCGACACTGAAAAGGACGCCTCCCTTTAGTGTCTGCCATGTGTGACTGCCTTCTCACGTCCTTTCTCAGGTTCCTGTCAGGCCACTCACTGCTCACGCCCTTCCAGAAGGCCTCTGTTGTGAACTCGAGCTCCCTGTCTGCTGCAGGCACTTTCTCGGCACTTGTCACCACTTCCGACTTCCCGGGCAGTGGCATTTCCCACACAAAAGCTTGCACATTTCCTATGGTGGGGGTTGTTGGTCTCCTGTGGATCCTAGTGCAGTGACGGGCTTGGGAAGCCCTGATGGCAGTGGACTGCAGACAGCTGCCAACAGCAAGAGAAGGGGCTGCGCCAGAGGTGGGCTCTCCTCAACCAGGCAGGGGGCGGAAGGGCGGCCGCTGTGGGGATGGTCAGGGCACCGAGCATTCCAGGGAGGCTGCAGGTGAGCGCCCAAGATGAGTAAGGGTGGGAGACAACAAAGAGCGGGAACGGACATCTGTCAAACAGCATCTCATGTAGACCATGTATGATCTTGTGCATCCCATCAGGGAGGGGCCTTAAAAACTGAGCAAGCCCAAACATAAGGTATCTCATAACCACAAATATGTGAAGCAGCAGCATCTGAAGTTTGCTGAGCAGCGGAAGCACAGAAATTAATCTGGGCACTCAAACTCTCCTGGCAAACAAAGTGAGAGGCCAAGCTGGGAACAGGCCCTCCATCTCCTGACTTCCAGTCCTGTACTCAGCAGGCTGTACACTTCTGATCAGACACACTCCCCAGGGCCCCCAGGGACCACAGACTCAGGTGAAATGCCCCACCACTCCCTGGCCGCCCAAGGGAACAGCTCAAACCAACACTCTGCCAGTCCTTGCTCATCTCTCTCACAAGGAACCAGAGACCACCCCCCAGAAGGAAGGCTTGAAAAAACAGTGATTTAAACAAAAAAATAGGGCACATAACCCCTTTCCTGCCTCACCACTCTATCTGGACTAAAATACATGGGCTAAGAATGGCAACTGAATTTGATCTTTAGTTTGTGGTTCCACAGTAGTTTTCAATAGGCTCTACACTATGCCTCTAAAAAAAACTCTTCACAATAATCAAGTATTCAAGTAATGACAGACATGTTTATCAGAGACAATTTTCGATTTAGGACAGATGCCTCAAATGCCACGTAAGCATAACTGATCCAACAGCACCGGGAGGCAGCTGGGATTGCTCGAGGAGGTGACGTCGCCCCCTCGGGCCGGCTGGGGGACAGCGGCCACAGCGAGCCAATCAACAGGCACTCCCCGAATGACCATGTGTCACTAGTGCCTCCCCGCTCCCTTGTAAGGAACACCCACAGTACATGTTCGAGAAGCAGAAAAGGCGGAAGGCCACAAGGAAGTGTGCGTGTCACCACAGAGCTCAGAGCGCCCCTGCAGGAACACTGCACCACTGCCAGGCCCTCCGAGCAGCCGTGAGATTTGTAGTCATTCCTTCATGGAGAGGGCTTATTGTCCATTATCCATAAACCTGCACAAATAGCGACCAAAGCTGATAAAAATGCTAAGAAAATACCAAAAATCAATTTGCCAGCAATGAGCAAACAAGCAAATAAAACTGGGTTTCAAAAAAATAATTGAAGCAAAATAAGACAATACAGCTTGCAAGCTTTGAGCCTGAATATTTTTTAAATTAAGGGGAAAATGACCAAGTTTCAATATGTATGTAATGAAATCAATTATCATATGAAAATAATTTCTTGGCTGCTGTGCCTACTAAGACAATGAAGCTTTCCCAGAGCAGGTAAGAGGAAAGAAGTGGAGGTGGTAGTTGGTAATGCACACCTAGGCTCCTTCCGGTTCCGATTTGACCTGGATTGCCTCTGGGCCTCTCCAGCAGTGCAGCCTGGCCTGGGGCATCTATTTACACTTCCCACGTGCACGACGGACTCTTCACCATGTTCCACTCTAGGCCTGGAGCCAATGCAATCAGGCCTCCACAGCCCGGCATGGTGGTCTCCTAAGAGGCTCATCCTCAAATAACCCAGCAGACCCTGCAGGGAGCGATGCTTCCATCTGATGAACCTAAACACTTCGCACCACTAGTGAATCCCACAGGGCAGCTGCCTGCTCCACCAGAGAGAAGAAACCCCAGTTTGCTGCTCTGGAGGTGGAGAGAAGACCCCTGCAACACGGGCCACACAGCTGGGTGAGCGGCACGCCCACCCCAGGAGAATGAGACCAACTAAGTCTTCCAATCTGTCCCTCTCCTAGGTTTCTTCTCATAAATAATTTATGTGTAGACACAATGTCTGTCTTCACGGAGTCAGGTGTGCAGTGCTGACCACTGACAGAAGTGAAGTGCAGTGGTAAATGTGACAACTACATACCAGTGTCACCGCGAGATGCAGGAATCAGGCTCCGGCGAGGGCTGAGCCAAGTTTATGGAAGAGCGATATAAAGACCTTCTCATCCTTCATCCACTGGCTCCACTGTTTCTATGTCAGCTAGACCCAGACAGAGCACGCCCTTTTAAAAAACACCACAGCTCCATCCCAGCAAACTGAAACCCAGAGTACCTTAAAGGAGATAAACAGATGGCCCAAGAGAAGAACTGCATTAAAATATGACCAATTTAATACAGACACAGCAGAAGCAAGAAAATAAGTCTGAAACACCACTGCCACCCCGGCCACCCCGGCAACATCTTCTATGAAGCCAGATGTCAGGCAGCGGAGGCCAGGCCGGGTTTCTCTGTGAAGAGTACAGAAAAACTTAAGCTGTTCCCTTACTGCAGTTACCACTGCAGCTGGCCCCTTGGGGCTCTGCAACTCATGTTCCTCAAGTCCTGGAATTCTACAGGATTTGGTCTCATCACTGTGAACCAAGCACGCTGGCATGGACAGGAGCCGGGCCCAGTGTCGGCTCATCGCCCAGCACCTTACCTGACTTGCTCCCAGGTCTTGGTGGCCAAATGCAGAACCCAGAGATCCTTGTAGTGGTAAAACTGCTCTCCATCAGGAGAAGCAAACTCCCCTCCAAAGATCCACAGCTGCCCGCCACCCTGAGGCACCACCACAGCCTGTGAAGAGAAAGGTGACAGGTCAGGGCAAAGCCGCACAGCTCGTGGCCAGCTCCAGAGATGCGGGGCGGCAGCCGCACCGCCCTCCAGAGCACGGCATGTGGGAGCCTTGGCCAGCACCCACACTCCTGCCTTTGAGGGGAAAATCCCTCATCGACAAATCCTCCTAAGTAAGAGTCTAACAAACTTTCAGGCATTCCTTGGTTGCAAAATTAACATCCCCTCATATTCAGACAACCCCATCCCATGAAAATGGACACAATTATGTCAAAAGTTACATCAGTTATAACACAAACTGATAGTCGTTTTTATTAAATATCTATAATAAAGCTGTTCACCTGTCCTCATTAACCTTTTTCCTAGCTATTAAGCATTGTATACCTAAAACCACACTCACGAATAAGATGTGTAATATACAATGTTTATGTAACATTATTAATATTTTTTTAAGATTTTTTATTTTCTTTTATTTTTAGAGAGAGGGGAAAGGAGGGAGAAAGAGAGGGAGAGAAGCATCAATGTGTGATTGTCTCTTGCGCACCCCTTACTGGGGACCTGGCCCACAACCCAGGCATGTGCCCTGACTGGGAATCGAACCAATGACGCTTTGATTTGCAGGCTGGCACTCAACCACTGAGCTACACCAGCCAGGCCTCACATTTATTTTTTAAAGATCTAAGCATTACAGGAATGCACACGGAAGCAGTGAGGACAGTGCCCTTCGGGCTGCACAGGCAGGAGGCTCTCACACAGGAGAGGACAGAGGGGCACATCAGCCACACTGACCCTGCACCACACCATGTCCAACTTTCAAGACACACATGCCTATTTCAAAAGTATTACCAGGCTTACCAGAACATTAAAGTACTCACAGAACAAACAGTTCACAGGCCAAACATTCCACAAACTAATGTGCCAACCCGAGGGGAGAAGCGGCCAAGGACGGGAACGCCAGGGAGCACATCCCATGAGCAGAACTACTCTTCACATTCCCAGGTTCTTCACCAACCGAACAGAAGTGAGGCGAGACCACCCAACAACCCATGCCGCGAGTCAGCATCAGAAATGCAAGGAGGGAAAGACAGAGGTCTGTCCAGACCAGCTCGGTGTTCTCAGGGGTGCCACGCAGATGGGTTTTCCAGCGCCCCACTGAAAGCCACCTCCCCTGGGGGGAGGGCAACATTCCAGACTCTAGACTGGGGGTGGCCCTGTGGGTCCCCCACAAGGAGGGAAAAGCAAGTCACAGCATGTGATTAAAAAGGCCTTACCAGAAAAGGGAAATATTAGGTAAGAGCAGCAATTTTCAACCTGTGTGCCACAAGAATTTTTAGAACATACAGTATAGGACTATTAGTCAGAAGCGCTGACCTCTTTTCCCTTAGACTGCCAAATAAAAAAAATGACTACAGCCAACACAACAATAGCTGTCCTGTTTAAATGAGACAAAATTATACCTACTTCTTTGTCACACTGAAAAAAAATTGTTTTGGTGTGCCACAGAATTGCAGTAATTAGTTTATGTGAGCCATGAGATGAAAAAGTTGAAAATCACTCGGCATGGGAGCATACTTCAGACAGCCACGATACGAGTGGATGCTACTTCATGTAAAATAACCTTTACAGGTGCAAATACAAGAAACACGGATTTGGGGATCTTAAAGACAAGTCATACACTATGTAGTCCAGGGTTTTTACGCTTTGGGTTGGAGTTCGTGTGAAGACCGCTGACTTGAAGGCCAAAAGGAAACCCATAAAACTGGAACCCTCCCCCGGAATCCAGACCGGCCTCCTGCTCACCCAAGGGCACTCAGATTCCAAGCCCCGACCTCAGCTTAAGAGCGCCTGCCCTCGCTGTGGTTCTGCTGACGACCCAGGATGACTCAGAGGTCCCAGTGGCACCACCCTCAACCGTCTGGACCCTCCAGAACCACACAAGCCACTGGCTGGCCAGCAACCAACAGAGAAAGTTCAATGATGTGCCACCTGATGGACAACAGCACAGCTTCAAAGACAGTCATGATGTGGCTGGTTTTATGGTTAGCTGACCTGTACACTGAGTAGTGAGGAGACGGCCTGTACAGAAATGACTCCTCCTGCAAGCCCCCAACAAATGTGGGGTGTGATGCTCACTCAGTCAACACCTGGCACAGAGCAGGCGCCGGGCCAGCCTACCCTGGGAGCCACCAGCCACAGGGTCTGAACAATGGAGCAGACAATGCAACCAAACCCTTCACACCAAAGGCATGTGGCCGGGAAACAGGCAAGGGACTTCTTGCTAAGAAGCCTGGAAACAGTGGCCATGGCAGCAAGCAGTGTGGCCAAGGGGGCCTGGGTCAGGTGCCACTGGGCACCAGGACGCTGCTGAGCACTGTGCGAACGCCTACTTGCCCTCACACACCTCCACGGACAGGTTCACTGGGAGGGTCACACAGTGGTTGTCAGGAGGCTGCAGCCCCAGCCACCCAGAGCTCCCACGGCAGCACGGGCCCTTGGGCCCACTGGCACCTGAGAACATGGCAGAACCAAGGTCCTGTCACCGATCCCGCTGCCGTCCTGGACCATCCGGCAGGTCCTGGTAGCATACTGAGGAGTAACACAGCCCTCTCTCCACTCCCATTCTCGCTCAGTTTTGTGTGTGTCACCTCAGTGCAGGTGACTGACCTATAAAGGGACAAGCCAGCTTCCCACCACTCTAAAACCTCAGTAGTTCTAGAGGAAAGAACTGACCATTTCAAATCTTTAAAGCACACACGATGATTAGCTCGGGACCAAACCTAACACATTTTTTGAGTTTATGAAGTTAGGTGATATAGTCATATTCAGGCTCCATAATACAATGGAGTTTTGAATCATCGTATTATAGAAGGCTATTCAATGCCATGAGGTAATGCTATAAACAATACATCAAGTGGAAAAATAGTATAGAAAAAACATACACGTATGTGTGTGTTTACATGTATAAGCCAACTAATATGAAATACAGATGTGTAGAAATATAGATATGCAAGGGAAAGATGAAGAAAAATAAACTAGCAGTTCTAGAATGATGGGCAATGGACTTTTTTTTTACGATGAATATTACTTACATAATCAGTGTAAAAATCATTTTTAAAAAACGAAGTCCAACTCCAGGCAAGGAAAAAGGGCTGTAAGCCACAGTGCACCTTTCCCACCCCGCCCCCACTTCACCACAGTACCAGGCCCACCGCAGTCAAGAGTACAGGGACCACAGGAAGGTGGGTCAACAGTCAGGGAGCTGAGGGATTTGTATTAACCTGGTCCTCAAAGAAGAAAGTTAGTATATTATGCAAGAGAACCTCAGAACTACAAAGAGACAGGCATAAGATTTCCACTCTGACCAGGATGGAGCTACCTGGACCACGTAAACGAGGAGAAAACTGGACAAACTCTACGAAGGAACCAGAGTCAGACAACAGTGGGAAGTGCGGCACTGCGACCCTGAAGGTGGTGAGTGGGACCGGTGACCCTGTGCCTCCGGGGCCGTCCTGCACCCAGGGCAGGGAAAGCAGCCCAACAGAGCAGCGGTCTTGTCCCGCTGAGGAGACAAAGGTCAAGAGTTCAGGGGTGCTGAGGCAGCTAGAATTGGCAGGCAGAGAACTGGACAGAGAGCACCCTAGAAATCCTCACATGGTCCCCTGAAGCCTTTGAGGACTCAGCTGGTCATCTACAGGAGAGGCTGGAAAAGAATCACCCCTGCAAGGCTGGAAAGCCTAACAAGGACCTGCACTCCCACAGAGCTTTGAAACAGGCGATGCCCGACCAGACACAGCGACAGATGTCACTGCACAGCCAGAGCACTCCACAGATACCCCAGAAAGGACACGCCCTAGGGCAGGGTGTCAAACTCATTTTCCCCGGGGGGCCACAGCAGCCTCATGGTTGCCTTCAAAGGGCCAAATGTAATTTTAGGACTGTATAAATGTAACTACTCCTTAAGTAGGGGCAAGGAGCTTGGTGCTGCCAGCCTGGATAAAACAAGGTGGGGGGCCGGATTTGGCCCTCGGGCCTTGTGTTTGCCACCTATGGGCTAGGGCTAAGCCATCCCTAGAAAAGTTTCAAAAGGATCACAATGACCTGCAGGTGACTTAATTGCCTGCCGAAACAAAACTCATCAATTGCTGACAGATTAAAACAAAATCCAGACAGTCCACACGTAGCATTCACAAAGTTCTACATCTAACTACACAGTCCCAGTGGGAAAACGAGACTTAAGGAAAAAGGTCAGTCCATAGAAGAGACCCAGAAATGACAAAGACGAGAAAATCAGCAAACAAGGACTTGAAACCGGTTTTTATAAATATGTCCAAAGCTTTAAAGGAAAACATGAACATAATAAACAAACACGGAAACAACAATCAAGAACCAAACAACATCTAGAGCTGAAAAATACCATACATGAAATTAATAATCCACGAATTCACAGCATATCCACTCACCCTAAAGGGCAATAAAAACAATCAAAATGAAAAGAGAAAAAAGAATGAAAAAAGAATGAAAAAAAAAGAGAGACCTAGTGCACTGCTCGTTAATATTAAACAGTCGAACATACATATATCAGACTTCAAGAAAATCCCAAAGGTACATCAAAATCAAGTTGCTAAAAAAGCAAAGACAAAGATAAAATCTTTTAAGCAGTCATAGAGGGGAAAAGGACAGACTGAGTACAGAAAAATTAAGTCTTACCTCTCCTCCTAACAACGCAAGCCAGAAAACACAACATCTTTCAAGAAAAAACTGCTATCAACCCAGAATGCTGTATCAAGAAAAAACACCCTGTGAATGAATATAAAATGAAGACATCTTCTTCACTTAGAAAAAATGCTGAAAAAATAGTGTTGCCAGTTGATCTGCACTTCAAGAAATGGTCAGTGAAGTTTTAGACGGAAGGAAACATTCCCACATGAAAACACAGATGTAACGAGGAATGAAGTGTGAGAAAAATGCTAAACTCGTACATCAATATACGGTGTTTTTCTTCTCATTTTAACATTTCTTTAAATATTAACTGTTTAAAGCAAAAACAACATCATATCACTGTGTGGCTTCTAGTATGTATGGAAATAAAATATGTAAGGACAGCAACACAGAGAGTATCTTGGAGAACGTCCTTTGAAAGAAGCTGAGCCAGCCCTGGCCGGGTGGCTCAGGCAGCTGGAGCACTGCCCGGCACACAGAAAGACTGCGGGTCCAGTTCCCGGTCAGGGCACATACGGAGGATGCGGGTTGGATTCCCGGTCAGAGGACATACAGGAGGCAACAGATCAAGGTTTTTTTCTCTCTCTCCCCACCTTCTTCTTTAAAATCAGTAAAACATATCCTCAGGTAAGGATGTAAAAAGGAAGAAAGGGCTAAGTGCTTTTAAAAAAAGTCAAAGCATTTCAACAAAAATTACTTTCTGTAATATCCTTCACATGAGGATTCATCTGGGCATAGAGGAGGTAACTGAGTATGCGCTGACCTGTTACCAGCTCTTCAGAAGAAAGCCGGTGGGACTCCAGAAAGAAGCCACTGGCTGAGGCTGAGACGCACGCAGGCCACTCTCCTACTCACTGCGCACTCCGCTTTGCACCATCAAACTTACAGAAAGAGTTTATACCTCCAGGCTGTCTTATGGTGGTTAAGTTAGGCATTTTGGAAAGAAGGCTACAAAAATAAAATACCTTTAAATATATATATTCAGAACTTCTGGCCAAGATGGAGGTATGGGTAGCTACCCTTTGCCTCCTCACACAACCAAAAGAACAACAAATTTTAAAACAAAAAAATAACCGGAACTGCCAGAAAATTGAACTGTGTGGAAGTCTGACAACGAAGGAGTTAAAGAAGAAATATTCACCCAGACTGGTACGTCAAGACAAAGAAACATGGCTCAAACGAAAGAACAGATCAAAACTCCAGAGAAAGAACTAAGCGAGGAGACAGACAACCTATCAGATGCACAGTTCAAAACACTGGTAATCAGGATGCTCACAGAAATGGTTAAGGATGGTTGCAAGATAAAGGAAGAAATGAAGGCTGTGCAAAGAGAAATAAAGGAAAATATACAGGGAACCAACAGTAAAGAGAAGGAAACCAGGACTCAAATCAATGGTTTGGATCAGAAGGAAGAAATAAACATTCAACCAGAACAAAATGAAGAAACAAGAATTTTAAAAAATGACGAGAGGCTTAGGAACCTCCAGGACAACTTTAAACATTCCAACATCTGAATCATATGGGTGCCAGAAGGAGAAGAGGAACAGCAAGAAATTGAAAACTTATTTGGACAAATAATGAAGGAGAATTTCCCTAATCTGGCAAATTAAACAGACTTCCAGAAGCCAGGAAGCTCACACAGTTCCAAAGACTGTTTCAATTTGGACCTAAGAAAGCACACACCAAGGCACATCATAATTACATTACACATGATTAAAGATAAGGAGAGAATCTTAAAAGCAGCAAGACAAAAGGAAACAGTTACCTACAGAGGAGTTCCCATTAGTCTATCAGCCAATTTCTCAAAAGAAACCTTGCAGGCAAGAAGGGGCTGGAAAGAAGTATTCCAAGTCATGAAAGGCAAGGACCTACCGGTACATCCAAGATTACTCGACCCAGCAAAGCTTTCATTTAGAATGGAAGGGCAGATAAAGTGCTTCCCAGATAAGGTTGAGTTAAAGGAGTTCATCATCACCAAGCCCTTACTATATGAAATGTTAAAAGAACTTATCTAAGAAAAAGAAGATGATCAAAACTATGAACAGTAAGATGACAACAAACTCACAACTATCAACAACTGAACCTAAAAAAAACAAAAACAAACAAGACAAAAACAAACTAGTACAGAACAGAATCACAGAAATGGAAATCACATGGAGGGTTATCAGCAGGGAGGGGGTGGGAGGTGGATATGGAAAAAGGTACAAGAAATAAGAAGCATAAATGGTAGGTACAAAATGGACAGAGGGAAGGTAAGAATAGTTTGAGAAATGGAGAAGCCAAAGACCGTGTATGTATGACCCATGGACATGAACTAAAGGGGGAGTGGGGGTAATGCTGGTGGGAGAAGGGTGCGGGGATGAGGGGAATAAAGGGAAGGAAAAAATAGGACAACTGTAATAGCAAAATCAATAAAATATTTTAAATAAATACATAAATATATACATTTATGCACACATACACACAGTTGTTTTGAAGTAACTGTTTAAACTGACAACCAACGACAGTCTCCGTCTGGACCTGACGCAGACGAAAGCCCCACGCAGTGACCCAGTGAATGTGGCAGGGCAGCACCACTCCAGGGGCAAGGCCAGGCCGTCCCCTTCAGCGTCCACTGTCCTACGTGTCCTACGAAGCTATCTGCTTCCCAAGCATGGGCTTGCTTGCTGTTGTCTTAATTGCAGTCACATCACGTGTGGGAAGCTTTAAGTAAACAACTCTCCTTCCAAATGCCAAATAAACAAGCAAAACCAATACACAATGAAGTCCAAAATAACACACAGACTCTGAAGGGATTTTGACATTAGCGAGCCGCATGCTTCAGCTTCGTGAAAGCTGAGTCCTAAAAACGTATGACACCATCAGGATCAAAGTAAACACAAAATATGGGACATCATAAGGAAAGGCAAACTCATCTTTTCTGTCATTATGTCCTAGCCCTGGAATGGTGCCTTGCATGTAAAAGATACTCAGCATCTCCTCAGGGAAAACATCTAGGAGCCCTGCAGTGCCTGCTCAGACGGAACACGATGAAGCTGTTTAGTTAGAGGCTAACACCAGCAGCAGTGCAAACGGACAGTCAGTGGAATTCTGCTCATTTCACGAGTGAACATTCTGCATACAATGACTCTTCTCCGTAAACTACTTACTGTTCATGAATGCACTAAGGCCGACATAAGAACACAGGAGACATTTTTTATTAAGCCATATGAAACTTTTTTCTATTTTATGAGAGAATGCATTTTGTTTCAAGGGAGTTTTAGTCATTACTTTGAGAGAAATGAGTATCCGGTGAGTAAGAAGACAGAACTCAGGACGTTCGCCGCTGCCTCCTCACCCAGCCCTGGATTCCCAACAGCCCCACACCCTGCAGCCCCACAACCTGCACCCGCAGCGGTCCAGGCAGCACAGCCTGACCACTCCCGTCTCTCCCCAGGTCGCCCAATCACACATTCAGCAGACGCTGTAACCCTTCACTGTCTCTCACCAGGTTGTATTCGTTTCACAAAGGGCCATCTAAACTCTCAAATTACACACCAAAATAAACTCCACCCCATCCCAAAATCCAGAATCTAGGAGAAAAGAATAAAGAATAGATGTATAAAGCTTTCCTTTCTACTTTTACCCTCTAATTGATTAAAGAGAAGATAAATACCATGGCTTCTAACACCATATTCATTAAACTAGTCTATAATGAGAAAACGTTTATGTCTCAAATTTCATGTGGTAGAATCTGAACTGTAATGGCCTTTAGGCAAAAGACTTTATAACCAATTTTCTGTTTCCCATCACTGCAATTCACTGTGAAATTCACAACGTAAACAGCAAGCCAACCTTAACTACAAGGATATTATTAAGTCCCAAACTAATAAAGTCCTCATCAGGTGTGCATATGAATCAGAGCCTGCTGAGCACCTGCCAAAATAACTGAATTTAAAAATCTCTAAGACTTTCATGACTCCAATTCTTCAAGGACATTTAATAACTGTGATTAAAGTGGATGAGGAAAAAAACACAGAAGAAGCCCTTAGGCTGCACCGTGTGACACGGGCACAAAGCCTGACTGCCCCATCGGGGCATCGGCATCTTGGGGCTCTGACGAGGCATCCGGGAGGACTGGAGATGCAGAGCGTTCACCCTGTGCTGTCCACTGCGACAGCACAGGACTCAGTCCTCAGCCCAGAGGCCTGGGGCAGATTCTGCACACCCCACAATGGCAGTGCGCTCTGGTGAACAAACTCGAACTTATCAAAATCCACTCATTTATTAAAATTCAACTGACTAAATCTGATTTTCCAACCTGAACACAAGTGCATTCCTCTTTTCCAGAAGATAAACCAGTGCGAATGCTTACAAGCCTTCATGTGCACAGGACTGCCATGCAGTTCAGCAGGTGGGTCCTCCTCTTACCCACCTTCAGGTCAGGAGGCTACTTCTGGGCACAGAATCAGAAAGAGAACCACACATAATGGTGAGCTCGGCCAATCATCTCCCTCCACCCTGGACAGGAACCACTCACTCGTTTTTTTGAGCCCCAACACGGTTCCAAATGCTGGGTTATAATAACAAAGAAGACCAAGTGCCTGTTCTCCTGCAGAGAAACAGAATCTGAAACCAGACCCCTTCCCCTGACAGGTTCACAGCTCTGACAGAGCTCTCCTGGGGTAAGCAAAAGCCAGGCGACAACACGCTGATTTAGTGCTACTCCTGTGTTATCTGTGTTAGGTCTCATTCATTTATAATAATTACTTCCCAAGCAGCATTTACACCTCTTCTGAACATTGTTCTCCCATTTTTAGCTCTCTAGACACCAGACCTTGAGCCTATGAAAGCCTCTCTCAACCCAACGGAGAAGGAGCAATTTGCCGACTAAGACGTGCCAGGCACCAAACTTGGTATTCTGCCTGGATTATTTCATATGATCTTCACACTGCCTGGAGGAGCAGGTGTCCATTTCGCTGTCTTACAGGTGAGGGCACTGATATGTGAAGAAGTTCAGTAACAAGTACAAGTTGGAAACCAGTGAAGTGAGGCCCACGTGCAAGGCCCAGCCTCTCTGCACCAGGCTGCCTGTCGTCTGCCAGCTCTACAAGTCTCCAACAGAACCCTCCGCGTGAAGCCCCAGCGGGAACACAGGGAAGGGGAAGGGTTAATACTGACACATACCTGGTGGGCACAGCGCCTTGGAGGTGGATTGGGGATTTCAACCTTGGTCCAGGTGTCCTTTCTGATGTTGTAGATATAGAGTTCATTATATAAAAATGTCTGCAGGAAGGAAGAGGAGCTTTACTGTCATGAATGATGCTCCCGTGCAAGTGACAGTAACTAGAAGGAAGGAGCTCAACAGCCAGCCTTCCTGGGAAATGTGTTCCCTAAAGCAGTGTAAGTATCAGTGCAGGACAGGTGCCGCCGGCCCCCTGGACCCTTTAGGATGATGACACACAGAAAAAGACCATCTGTCTACCATGCAGCGAAGGTGAACTTGATGCTTTTCTGTTTCATATACAACTCTGAAACACCAGCCTTTCTGGTTTTTTCAAAGATTTTATTTATTTATTTTTAGAGAGAGGGGAAAGGAGGGAGAAAGGGGGGAAGAGAATATATCAATGTGTGACTGCTTCTTGCACACCCCCAACTGGGGACCTGTCCTACAACCCAGGCACGTGCCCTGACTGGGAATCCAACCAGCAAACTTTGAGTTCACAGGCCAGCACTCAGTCCACTGAGCCACACCAGCCAGGGCCTTTCTGGCCTTTTTAAAACTAAACCTTAGCTCTAAATCAGTACTTTTCCTACTCAATACAACTTCAGAAACCCATCATGGGGAAAAACAGCACAATCAAACCGAAGGGCTAGCGTGCTGGTCAACCTCAAGCAGGCAGTAAGAGCAGTGATCCTAAAGGTCACTAAAGGATGCTGTTACTTGTCAAGGGCAATGTCACATACCAGTCCTGAGAACTCAGGATGTGGGATAAATGGGAGGGCAGTTAAAGGACCAACGAGTATTTGGTATCTCTGCTTTAAATTAATTTTACTCCAAAAGAGCCCCATGGAAATTTGGGAAGAAAAGAAAAACATATATACTTTACTTTTTGGCCATTGAAATATTCACCTCCGAAAAGGATTAGTTCATCTTTCTCAGGATGAGTGGAGAAAGAGGCATTTAACCTGCAAGAGACAAAAGCAGCAGGTCAACACAAAACCAAACCACTGGCTGCCTAATCTGAGAGCTGTTCATTCTCCCATCAGAGGGCGTTACCAGGGACAAGCCTCTCCTAAATTTTTGTGAAAGAGGAGGCTGAGGCTAAAGACAGAAGCCACTACCCTTAAAAGCAGACTGGGCCATGATACTAACACCCAGGCTCCCAGTCCCGGAAGGGCTGGGCTGGCCCACTCCCACAGCATCTGGCCAAAACCATCAGGCAGTGACAAGTCTAGGCGTTCCCACTCATGTGCCAAATTTCCCAGAACTGTCTTATTTTAAGGATCTATCCTCTTAAATCACAATCAACACTGCTCTTAAAGGTCCAGTATTTAAGCATTCCAATATACATCCTAGACAGCTTCTATCTGGAAAAAACAGCAAATAACTTTCCACTTATTTCACACATGAGGACAAAAGAACAGCTGTAAGGAAATCACAGATACATCCCACTTCCCTGAAAAGTAATGAAAGCTATGGTAACTGAGGTCAGTCACTGGAAATTGCCCTTCCTTTAAAATTCTCTTGAGTGGCACTTCCCAAGGTGCATTCAGTAACACTAAGTCCAGAAAGTGCTTCTCAGGAAAAAAAAAAACAGTCTGAAGGTCGAGTAAGTTTGGAAAATCTGAGTACCTTTCCCCTGGAGATTTATCATACACATGAACACCTGAGAAATTCTGCAGTAAAGAAACCAGTGTTAAAACAGTGCTGCTGTGGCAATCTCTCAAAAGTTAAACAGAATTTTCCACTCCTACACATGTGGTCAAGAAAAGTGAAAACTACAACATTCATGACACCACTACTCACAGTAGCCCCAAAGTGGAAGTGCCCACCAGTGCATCAGTGGATGCGTGGGTAAAACGTGGTCATCCACACACGGAACACTGCTCAATCTCAAAAGGAACGATGTACAGGCTCACGCTACAACATGGACAGAGCTTGAGGCACTGTGCTAGGTGAAAAAGCCATTCACACAGGACAGGCATTGCACAGTCCACTTATGTGAAACATTTAGAAATCAGAGGGACAGGAAGTAGGGTAGCGGTCCCCAGGGACAGGAGAGGGGGGATGGACAGCATCTGCTGAATGGGAACAGAGGTCCTACTGGGGGATGAAACTGTTGGAAATACATGGTGGCGATGGGTGCACAGCATTGTGATGTAAGTAATCCCACAGATTTGTTTGGTTAAAATGGTTAAAGTGGACAATTCTATGTTTTATATATATTTTATCACAATGAAAAATATTTCATAAAAAAGGACACCAGTGTTCCCCAAAGTTCTTTGAGCACAAATCTTTTTCTCAATTAACACATTAACTTTCTGTGAAAAAGTAACACGCACGACTTGGGGAACGATTCATTCAGGTGCACAATACTGAAGTGTCACTGCCGTCCGAGCCTGTCCCCATCCACACCCACAGTCTGCGAGTCACAGACACGCAAGCACCGTGTCCTCATCACCCCCTTAAATTCCATCTCAGCTGATACTTGGGAACACACACACCTACAAAACTTGATCATTTTCATGGCTTTGTTACCATAACGTGATGGAGAGGTAGGAGATGAGAAGTTACTATGATTACCAACCAAAAGGCTTGGTCTCATTATACCTCAGCTCCATCAACTGTAAGGGACCATTCCCAGCTGACCCCGGGAATCACCAACCTTTCAAATTACATCCTGACATTCAACCTGGCTTCTGGGACATTACTTTAGGAAAAATTCTGAAATGTCATCCAAAAATTATCAGTCCACAGGTGGCTTTGCTCAGGGGTGCTATACATATGAAATCTTAAAGATCTCAAGAATTTATCTGCTTCAACAATTCAAATGAAAAAAATACATCTACCACATGTGAAGCTTATGTGTGGCCCCAATGACAACACGCTGAATAAAGGGGGAAACACAACAAGATTCCCAGTGGAATTTATTAAATGAAGAACAGGAAGGACTCTCCAACTTTGGGAGCTGCTCAAAAGCTGCTGTGTCAGGTCATTCGGCTCCGGGGCTAATCCAGTGGCTAACCCTGCCCCGCCGGCAGGTGCTAATTAAATCCTGGGTCCCAGGTCAGCAGAATTTGGGGGGCAGAGCCATCACCTGCCCCTCACCGAACTGAAGGCAGCACTACAACCACCTCCCTCCCGAAAGCGCTGGACCCCGGGCTTCCATTCAGGTGACGGCAGCTCTGGGACTACACTCTGAGGGAAACAACGCGAATCACTTCCCAACCACACACACCGTCCCAGACGCTTGCAAAGTTACCGGTTTCCCCTTCTCTGGTATCTCTTCATTAGGGTCACCTGGCCTTTCCTAGGTTTCTAACTCAGTGCATTCGCTGTCCTGCCTCTGCTCTATTCGCAAATACACGAATTACAGAGCCTAAAATCAAACCATAAAACAACTGGAATTCCGAGGACGAGAGGACAAGAACTGACCTGGAGGAATAAGAAGTCGGGTGAAACCCGAAGCCTGCTCTGCTCAGCTCATCCCACAAGTGTTCGAAATCCTTGTGGAGTTTGCACAGAATTTACAAATCCACTTAAAATGGCTTACATACAATTTATATTTAATAATCACATTTTTTCACAAGAATTTAAAAGCATTATAAACAAACACAGATAAAAGCTACTGTGACTTGAAGTTCTCCGCCTGTGACAGACACTTTTAAAACACCTTAAGAACCGAGCAAAGCTCATCAGGACAACACTGCAGTCCACAAACTGTTACCAGCTGGGGAGCCTGCACACCTGCCACAGGTGAGTAGCTGTGCTGAGACCTCATTTCTGTGTTTCTGCATGACAAGAGAGCTGAAGAAAGTGCAAACATGTTCTGTGGGAGCTGATCAGAACAGGTTTCAAAGGTGAAAATGTCCCAAGTACCTGGGTACTTATGAAGACATGCTGCCTATTTGTAGCATTTTATACAAGGAAACTGTTAGAAGCTGTAACGCAGAGTTCTGCTCACTCACCTGGGTGAAGGTGGGGGACAGGGCGTTTCCACAACCTGGGTCTTTCTGGCATCCAGTGTCTGGAAATGGGCTATGAGAGCTTCCAGATCTTCCTAGAGGCAGACAAGCAGCCACATGTGAGACGTTTCCTTAAACCCTACTATGGGGCCAAAAGCCTAGGGCGGCTTTCCCACTGTCCACAGACAGAATCCGACACATGCAAAAATACTCAGAGCTTCACCTTACAGGTCATTTTCTTGCAAGTGTGGGTGTATGAGCACATCATCTCATTCTAAACCCGCACACTCCCCACCAAAGGGCCTTCCACATAAATAAGCCCACCCTGACTTCACACCAGCATCCTCAGGCACCTCTCGGAAACCCAGTATTAGGCAACCCCACCAGCCCACTCTGCTGTCTGCATAGCGGTATCTGATATGAGAATGCCTGCTCATTTATTTTTTATTTTGTTTTCATCTCCCTCCCACCGAAACAATAAGAGCTCCAAGCAAGACTTGTCTGCTTAGAACAGAGCCTGCTTGGCAACTACAGGCTGCAGCCACTCTGTGGAAGAGGGTCTCTATTTTTACAACTGCAAACAGGATTTAAAATTCACCTGCACAGCTGGGTGGCACTGCAGCCTGGTCTTCCCACCCCGAGTCCAGTGCCTGTTTCCCTCTATTACCCTCCCCCAGCCCCCGAAAGGCATGACCTGTGTGTCAGGAGGAAAGTCCCCCTCTTTCCTTTTTCTCTTTTCGAAAGCTCAGCTGATGCTGCGACCTGGGATACATCCCCTGCCTTCCTCCCTACTCCCCCCAAACATTCCCACATCCAAAGCCCTCTCTCCCTGGTTCCACAGGCCACACTGAACGTAGGTCAGTTGGCCTTCCCGCACCCACAGACACCTGCAGACCACTCTCCCTTCCTCTCCAGCCTCCCTTCCCACCCCGCCTCCTCACTCCAACTTTCACTGGCTTCCTCTCAGTTCCTTTATCAAAACACATTCCCTTGGCCTAAACAGCCACCTACCCCCGCTTCTACCATGGGAACCGTTGTCTGGAACTGGGTGCTCAGTACTCTCCAGAATTTTTTTTCTTTTTTTTAATGAATTGATTTTAGAGAGGAAGAAGTGAGAGAAGGAAGGGGAGGGAGAGGAAGAGAGAAAGGGAGAGTGAGAGGGAGTGAGGGGAAGGGAAAGAAAAAGACTGATTTGTCGTTCCACTTATTTATGCATTCACTGGTTGCTCCTTGTATGTGCCCTGACCAGAGATGCAACCCAAGCCTTGGTGTTTCAGGACCAGGCCCTAACCAACTGAGCAACCCAGCCAGAGCCTCGAGCATTTCTTTACACTTTTACTGCATATATACAAAAGAAGGTCCTCAAATAACATCATTCCATTATAACACTGATGAGATGCCATAGGACAGCAGTATCAAACTCATTTTTACCAGAGGCCACATCAGCCTCACGGTTGCCTTCAAATGGGCCAAATGTAGAGCTCCTTGCCCCTAGTTAAGGAGTAGTTACATTTATACAGTCCTAGAGTTACATTCAGCCCTTTGAAGGCAACCGTGAGGCTGATGTGGCCCCCGGTAAGAATGAGTTTGACACCCCTGCCATAGGAACATAACCCTTGCTTATACCAGTTAGCCTAGGGCAAAGTGATTTTGGTATACAGCCACACCTTAGAGATCCTGCGGGTTCAGTTTCAGAGCACCACAATAAAGCAAATATCGCAATAAAGCCAGTCATAATCTTTTTGCTGGTGGAGGGACTTACCTTCAATTTATAAAAAACCCTACAGCTGTGAAGCGCAATACAAGGTATGCCTGTAGTGTGTCAGTCCGCTGAAGGTCACAGAAGCCATGGACGAGGTTAAGTAAAGACTTCCTGTATTGGCTTACATTTCTCAGGTCCATCTCAGTGGCATTATTCTGTGTATCTTGCAAAATGGCTTCTGCTAACAGTTTGGTACACTGAATCCACTCACTTTCACTGCGGCAGAGCTACCGCTCCATCACAGCTTCTCTACCCAGCCTGCTCTCGAACAAACATCTGGGGCAGTTCCGGTGTTTTGTTTATATAAACAATACGACCATGGCCATTCTGTCCCATCTTTGTGTAGCTGAGGGAAATTTTTCCAAAGTAACCTTCAGGTGCGTATCTACTAGGCTGCAGCTTCCACCAGTCTAGATATTGACAAAGTAAGGTCCAAAGAGACTCTGTCAGTTTTCACCCTCACAGCGTCTATGAAAAGGGCCATTGTCCTCCTACTTCTGTGTGGGTAGTTAGTTACATTAATGGCTGTCCTGTTGACTGACATGTCCCTAATGCCAAATGTGCTGCCTTAAGCATTCAAGACAAGTTACTGAATGACTGTAATTTTACAGAAAGACCTGGAAGAAGGAGGAACTGTTGGAGTCACAATTAGTTCAGAGCTCCTGGTCCAGTGTCATTCACCTCAGAAATTACCTTCATGCCCTGGCTGGTGTGGCTCAGTGGATTGATTGCTGACCTGCGAACCAAAGGATGGCAGGTTCAATTCCCAGTCAGGGCACATGCCTGGGTTGAAGGCCAGAGAGCACAGTGCCTGGCACACAGCAAAAGCTCATGAACCACGATAAATTGCCCCAAGTTAGGGGACCGAAGAACAAGTCAATAGAAAGCAGAACGCTCTAAGCTCAGCCCTGTTCCACTTGCAAACCCTACAGAGAGAGAGGGGGGTGGGGGAGAGGGAGGGAGGGAGGGAGGGAGAGAGAGGGGGAGGGAGGGAGGGAGGGGGGGGGAGGGAGGGAGGGAGGGAGAGAGGGAGGGTGGGAGATGGGTGAGAAAGAAGAGAGTGGTGGCTACCATCAGCTGTTAACGGGAAGCCCCAGAGTTTCACTTACTGCACGGATGCTCACTGCTCATGGTCGCGGTAAGACAGACTTACCGTCTTTCAAAGATGAGGAGTGCGGCTCAGAAGTTAAGCCCTTGCCCCCAGACCATGCCTCTTGCAGAGGCGCGCCGCTCATCCCCGGGTCCTCCTACACTAACTCCCCGCCGCTCCAGCACCCGGACGAACGACATCCGGTAACGCCAGGGACACAGGACCAAGGAAGGCAGGAGACGAGAGCAAAGGAGCTCGCGCAGAGCAGGACGTGCGCTCGGCGTCCGTCCCGCCGGTGCCGCTCACCTCCTCCTTCCGTGAGCGCTTGGAAACCTTCTTTTCCATTTTGGCTGCCGTCTTCTCAGCCCCGCGGCCCTTCTTCTCCTTCTTGCCTTTCTTGCCCATCGTGCCTGTTTGAAGTTGCGCTGGACACCTAGGATCGAGGAGAGAGGTGCACGGCGCGCCGGAAGTACCTTTACGGGGCGGCGCACAGAAGTTGCATCACTTCCGGGCGTGCGAGACTCAGTTGCAGCAGGTTTTCTCTTCGTCTATAGAAATAGCCTTGAGATTCTAGAGCTCCTGACGTACGCGGAGTAAGTGGCTGGCCCCGACCAAAAGTAGCGGACCTGCGCCGGGGGCCCCTCCACCTTGCCTCCTTAGCTGTCCAAGGGGCTTAGCAGTTGTCTTTTGGGAGCCACCCAACCTGGCCTTGAAGGCTGCCTTCCGTGTTTATTGTATTTGCTCAATTGACTTAACACTGTGCAGAACGACCCAGTTGGCCGACTCTGTAAGGGAGCCACATTTCTTTCTGCCTTGGACTCTTTCAAAATGAAATGATTGTTGCGGCCTCATACCCAGAAAGATGTTCGTGCCCTTACAAGGACTGGCAGACCCTAAGTGAAGACAACCCCTTCTCCCACACAACACTGCCAGTACTCTTAGGTGCGGAGTACGAACCTGGAAAAGTTGGCATTCAGCTTCCTGTCACTACCAGAACCAATGACTAGAGACAAGGATTGATATTTATGGGTGTGTTTATTCAGATGCTAGTGATTTGAGAAGACCAGGGGGGTTAGGGTTAGGTATCCTAAAAAACACTTCGATGTCTTATCTCAAGCCAACCTTTTGGTAAGGAGAATAAAAAAATAGGTAAATAAGGGTTTTGGGAAAAGGCTAAGTTGCAGTCAGGTGGCCATTTTCATAGTATTTCTTCCTCTGCTGATCAACAGTTCTTTATCTACATGAGGGATGTTGGCTCAGATACTATCTCAGTCGCTTGCAGACCCCCAGGGGCACAAAGGTTGAATTGCTGTCCATCTCCTGGAGTCACGTAGGTCACGAATTCCAGTTCCTGGAACAACAACTTTCCACGCCAGTTAATCACTTAAGCCTATCAACTATAACTAAAGCTAAAATCTTTAAGTCTTGCCCTGGCTGGCATAGCTCAGTGGATTGAGTGCGAGCTGCAAACCAAAACATCACAGGTTTGATTCCCACCCAGGGCACATGCCTGGATTGCAGGCCACGGCCCCCAGCAACCACACATTGATGTTTCTCTCTCTCTCTCTCTCTTCCTCCCTTCCCTCTCTAAAAATAAATAAATAAAATTAAAAAAAAAAGATGTGCACAATATATTGTGAGCCTTCTACTACAAAACTTCAAAAAAAGAAAAATCTTTAAGTCTTGAGTTCCCCTGTCAAGAGTATTGTGCTCAACAAGAAAATCTCAGCCCTGCCATTCCACTTTCTATGTGACTTTCCTCAATGTCCTGTGTTAGGGGACTTGTTTCTTCATCAGTAGAACAAGACTAATGACACCTCCCTTCCAAGAATAGTCAGTTTATTAAGCCTGAAGAACTAGAATTGCCTGCTAGGAAATTGTAGTCTATTATTCGACTGAAATATCATAATAAATGGGAAAACCATTTGTAGGATGTGGAACACTATGGTTTGAGCATAACAGAGTGAAATTGCTTACATTAATTAGAAAATGGCTTCTGCCCTGGCTGGCGTAGCTCAGTGGATTGAGCGTGGGCTGGGAACCAAAGTGTCCCAGGTTCGATTCCCAGCAACCGCACATTGATGTTTCTCTCTCTCTCTCTCTCTCTCTCTATCTCCCTCCCTTCCCTCTCTAAAAAATAAATAAATAAAATATTTAAAAAAAAAAGAAAATGGCTTCTAATCAAAGCAATGGGACAAATTAAGGACAATTGCAAGCAAACATTTGGTAAAGAGAAAGCATAAATCAAAGAATGACTTAACTTCTTTGTAGGTGAACTGCCACAGAGCTTAGCCTTAAAGAAAATACCTTAGATCTCCCTGGCTGGCGTAGCTCAGTGGATTGAGCGCGGGCTGCAAACCAAAGTGTCGCAGGTTCGATTCCCAGTCAGAGTACATGCCTGGGTTGCAGGACATGACCCCCAGCAACCGCACATTGATGTTTCTCTCTTTCTCTCTCTTCCTCCCTCCCTTCCCTCTCTAAAAAAAAATAAGTAAATAAAATCTTAAAAAAAAAGAAAAGAAAATACCTTAGATCTAATCAATTTATTAATCATTGAACAGCCAGAGAGAAATGCTTTTCCAAACAACCCCAAGCCTTGTCCAAAAACCACTAAGAAGAAAATGAAATTTGGGGATATTATGGGAAGAAAAGGTAAAATATGATAAATAGGATTCTGATTGCCATGAGCTCCAGCACTGCCTGTCAGAGAATAGAACACCCATGATGATGATGGAGGAAGAGGAGGGGGAGGAGGAGGGGGAGGAGGAGGGGGAGGAGGAGTAGGAGGGGGAGGAGGAGGAGGAGGAGGGCTGCAAAATTTAACAGAGCAAACCTAGCTTTGACAGTAAGCTATAAAAGGCCAAATCCTCATGAGGAAATCATCATTTTCCTTCTAGTGCAATATGGCTTAAAGGTCAATCTTGAGGCAATGCACTTGAAGCAAGATGACCCTTCAGTCACAGCTTGTTTGTCTGCAATACCTTAGAGCAGCCTGCTCTTAAAGACTGCAAAAGGGGAGCACATTCCCTATTGAAGATTTAGAAGGTTCTGATAGTGAGGGGCTTAATACTTGTAATATCCAAAAAAAAAAAAAACCTTGAAGCTGAATTGGAAGGTTCTTGGATTATGTGTCATGGTGATTTATGTGTAAGGTGAAATTCTCCTTATGAGAAAGAAAGGGAATAGGACATTTAAAATGAGATCAGATTCCTAAAATAGTAAAAAGATTAAGTACTGGGTTCTATTGTAGTGAAATTCACATTTTTGAAACTTTAACGGATTATTTTAAGTCTAATTATATATCATTAACTTTCAAGTGTACTTTTGTGTGGTCAGGCACTCTCTACCATCTTCAGGTTGAGATCCAGAAGGGAGAAAAATATTAGTAATGGACCTAACTAACTGCTAATTTACTGTCACCACCAGTAATCAGTATCATTGGGAAGTTCTGTCAAGCGTGGTATAGGTGAGGTGGTTCTTTGCACATTTCCTGTATGGACAGTAAGAATACTAAATCTGCCCACCTATTACACAGAATTCTTGGGAGGATCAAGTGAAAACTTAAGAAAGCTTACAAAAAGAAAAATACAAATTTAAGAGATTCTATGTGCTGAAAAATGAAGTCATGATTTGAGCAGGCTGACAATCATGTCATTAACTAGATACTACAATGTGTGGCCTTTTGCCAGGTCCCCTGAGATACAAAACAGAAGACCCAGCCACCAGCCTCAAGGTTTTGTTCTAATGGGAAAGCATGATGTTCCTCAAATGCTTTGTGAAATGAAGCAAGGGATAAGGAAGGAGAGAGAAGGGGGAAAGGAAAGGAAAGAGAAAGGAGACAGTGACATCCAAGGGAGAGAGTGAAATAAAAACTGTTATTTCATAGATTTTGCCCATTTTCTAGTTGTCTGAAGGAAAAGGATAAATTCAGTCTCATTGCTCCAGTGTGGCCAAAACCAAAATTCTTTCCTCCTTGGGGTTAAAGAATGCTGCTTAATGTCCAGGTATTTGGAGATCTTTTTGTTGTTTATTTCTAACTCAATTAATTTAAGATACCTAAGAGTTTAATGCTCTCAAGTTCCCTTTAAATACTGCTTCAGGTGCACCTTACAATTTTTAACATGTCATGTTTAGATTTTCATTCAGTTTAAGGTATGTCCTCTTTTGATTTGTAGACCCCTGGCTTACTTAGAAGCGTGTTATTTAGTTTCCAGACATTGGGAGGTTTTCTAAAGATCTTTCTGTAATGTAATTTTTTTTTCTCTAACTGCTTTTATGATTTTCAGTTTCATTAAGATATATTTAGGCATTAATTTCTTTTTACTTATTTTGCTTGGGAATTGGTAGTCTTCATGAAGCTGTTGATGATTCTTGAAGTTAGGTTGATTATTTTTTAATTTGTTTTCCAGGTTGATGTAAAGTTTTTTATATATTTTATCTATTTATTTTTAGAGAGAGGGGAAGGGAGGGAGAAAGGGGGACAAAAACATTGAGACGCAAAGTAAGTTGACTTTTTAATATCCTTATAATATCACTGTTAAGAACATCTGGTTCTTTAATCCTTTCTGATCCAGAGACCAGCCCAATTGCCATGCCCAATCAACTCACAGTCAACAGCTTATGCTTAAGGTTCATGAAGTAAGTAGCCCCTTAAACTCCAGCTGCCTACCCAGGAAAATAGATTGCACCCACTAAAAGTAAATTCTTCGGAAGGGCTCTTCTCTCACTGTACATCCAATCTCAGGCCACCAGGAGGAGGCCAGATGTTAACCTTTTCTGTAAACACAGTTCTGAAACCTACATTCTGGGAACAAAGCTAATCACATCCTCCTATTCTTGGACATTCTAGTGAATGATCTAATTAATATAAAACATGGGAAACCAACAAAGACTTCTGCATCAGAGTCTGAGAGTTGGTATGTTATAAGAGGAACTCAGAAACTGGACTGGAGAATTGGCTGTGTTGCCCACTATTTCAAAGACTTGCCAGGAATAGTATTCATGTTGTTTAATTTCCAAGTCAGTCAAGATTTTCCCATTAAAAGAGAGGGTGTGGGCTGACAGGGGGTGGGTGGCAGAAATGGGGGACATCTGTAATAGTGTCAACAAAAAAATTTAAAAAAGATTTCCCCATTAACAGCATTTTCTCCAATGGTCACAAGAATACTCTAGAAACTTATTTGAATTTTAACTATCTGTGTGCTGTATCTCTCTTCCACTACATTTTAATCTCCATCAGGCGGTCTCTAATTCACCTTGGTATCCTTTGAACAAAATGTTGCACTATTTGTTAGATGGTAATAAATAATGCTGCCCTGACTGGTGTAGCTCAGTGGATTGAGTGCGGGCTGCGAACCAAAGCATCGCAGGTTCAATTCCCAGTCAGGGCACATGCCTGGGTTGCAGGCCATGGCTCCCAGCAACCGCACATTGATGTTTCTCTCTCTCTCTC